CATGCACAAGAGTGACTGTCGGGCACTTGTACATATTTTGTGCTGTAAAACCAAAGGAGGGTTGGAGAAGAAAACTGAAACGTGGTGCTTTTTATTACTAATTACATTGCACAGTATCGTTATCAGTTCAAATCCACTGTAACAATGGGAGGCCCCCTCCCCGCATTGTTGGGAGAAATTGTGGTGCTCTCCCCTTCCCACAAAGTCCAGTTCCACATTGTATACGAGATACAAGTATTTGAAATTGTAGGTTTATTTCTCAGTATAAACTGCCTGAAGGCGCCTAAAAGGTCACAAGTATTTAACCATTAATTATGCGTATTATATACTTTGGTATTCAAGTTATGATATATATTTTATCATAACTTCCACTCTAGTTGCCTTACGGAGGTGGGAGACCTATCATTCGAATGCAAATTTAAATCCTTCTAAGAAGACATTATAATAAAAATAATTGGACCATTGTGATATTTCCATGAATCTAGCTACTTGAACAGGAGCGTCCCTCATCAGCTTTTATCGGATGAAAAGAGCTGGTTGGTGGGGAGTGGGGAGATCACACTTTTGAAGCGTCACAAACACAGCCACAGAGAGAGGCCTGCCAATTTTTTAGGGTGATTTTAACAAGGAAAGGGATTGAGTACCCAGGGGATCGGTCCGGCTGATTTTCCAATATGCCATTCTTTAGCATTCTGGTTGAACGAGAGATTAATATGGAAAAGAAACGTTGCATTTAATTAAAGACTGTTTTTTTATATGTATCTCTCTTGTAGAGAGAATCTTGGATTGAACATGGAGGAGGTCATAGATGAAATGGGACAAGCCTCTGCCAAAGTGAGTTGTACACATTTCTCCGATTCAATATGAATTTGAATTTTTTAGGTACATGTAATAAATAATTTTACATGTAACTTGCCTTGATAAGGATAGATTTTAATTTAAGACTAGGTCACTGCTTCAAAGGCATCCAGTGCCTGCCAAGAAATTTCATATATTTACATATTTATTTTGTTGTTGTTTATTAACCAACTGCCTGATTACAGTAGCCTCATGTAATCTGTGAAAAATGCTCAACTTGTTTATTCAAGCCTAAAATATGCATGGACCAATAAATTACAAGGAGTTTTTTCTAATTCTGTTCAGGCTCAAGGGCTGCACGCGCCCATTACTTCAGCACACAGACTTCGCTTCTCCAGCCACCATTTGTACGTCATGAAAGATGCCTCGGCCAGTGGGTATGTAACTGAGGAGTGTGTCATCAACCGTACAGCTAACAACGACTTATCTAGTTTCTCAACACCTTGTGGCTGCTCAATATTACACGTTCTGCTTGAAATTTTAGCAAAACAGTGTTGTAGTCAGGTTTATCACAGGAGGGGGGAGGGGAATGAAGGCCACCCCCTCCCCTGAAAAAAGAACCGAAAGTATTTTGAAAGAATCAATTAGAGAGAGGTGATTTTTTTTGGTCTGTTTCATTCCCAAAGCATGTAAAAACCCCAAAATGTAGCCTGATTCCTCAGGATGGCCTTACACGTGTTAAAAGGTTCCAAATTTTGCCCCCGCCCACTAAAAAACAAATTTTCCTCCCCCCCCGCAATATGGTTTTGGATCTGCCCTTTATCACAAGTCCATGCAAGTCAATCACCAGCTATCCAGAGTTGTCTTCTGAATGGACTGTTTAGTAGACTTGTGAAGGACTGGACTGCGACATGGCAATAAAGTGGCAAAAGTCAAATTTCCAGATGCTTAATAACTATCACTGTTGTTACTCTTCAGTGTCAAATGCCAGGCCTTTTCACCCTTTCGGCCGTCATGGTCTTCGCCAGGCACCCTGCTGAATCAAGCAGAATCCTATAGCTGGAGAAAACCCCACAAATTCTGACTGGATTTATCCTCTTTCAGCTAATGCTGGATCTAACGTGGAAACTGTTCCATTGAAATGCTTGGTTTTACTTTTGGTACCAAATAAGCGATAATCTGACAAGTTTGGTTAATTAAGTTTTGCATGGTTCCCATGTGATCGAAGAAATTGTGATGCAGCATTCTTTGATGTGCAGGCATCTGAACTTACCTGATAATGTTAAGTGATTCTTTAAACTTTAAACTGCTGCAGAGGTTTGGGTTCAGTTGTTGGAATTCTGAAAGTCGGACGAAAGAAACTCTTTGTGCTCGACAACCACGGCAACCAGATCGAGATGGAGCCACTGTGCGTTCTCGACTTCTACGTCCACGAGTCGTGCCAGAGGAGAGGGTGCGGGAAACAGCTCTTCCAGACTATGCTGAGGGTGAGGTCCTGTCCGAATCAGTTATGTTGCATCCGACCTCTCAGTGATCGGAGGCAAAGCCGTTGCCAAATGTACACACAGCTTCAGCCAGCACATTAGTCCGTGTCTCATTGAACTAGAGGTCGGAATTTGTGTTACATAACAGTCGTAATTCATGTTTACAAGTAGACCAGTCTAAGACGTTGTGATGTCATAACCCCAACAAGATTTTATGTGATTGACACTAAAGCTCAATGGTTACGGGTTGCTACTGCAGAGAACATTTAATACAGACAGGTCTTTGGAGGAAAGGGTCTGACAAACATGTTTAATATCTTAATTGAAATACTAAAAAAATGTTCTGCTTTGGAGCATCATTTATTTCATAAACTGGCCAAATCTAACACTGAAAGACTAGCTGTGCAGAAATCTTGCCGATCTAGACTTGGTAATATATAGCTTTCAAGTTTCAAATCAGAATGCGTTACCTTCACTAAGTGCCAACATTGCAAATACGCCCTTTAAAACCCCCTGTATTCCCCATCTTTTCCCCAGCATGAGGGAATTGAGGCTCAACACCTTCCCATCGACAGACCCTCCCACAAGTTTACCTCCTTCCTAGCCAAGCATTACAACCTTCGGGCAACCATCCACCAGGTTTGAGTCAAATTTTCTGGGTATATATCCGTGGTAACATTAACATGCGAACAACACAATAACGATCAAATTCGTCGCACAAAGTTCTTGTGAAATTTACATCTCTGGCAAATTTTATATTGAGACCTGTGATACTTTTTGATCTCAAACGCTGTTGTTTTGGTGATCCGTCCGTTTCAGGTCAACAATTTTGTCATCTTTGAGGGTTTCTTCCGAGGCCAACCTGAGGAAAGCTTTGTCAGGAAGCGATCAGGAGTTGCCGGGAATCGGAAACCGCCAGTAGCGCCCAATAAGAGAGAAGGTGAGTTAAAAGGGAAGATATCTTCATACACTGCCACTGTCTATTCAGAAATCTGATTGGCTGTTGGCCTGCTCCCAAATTTAATGGATGCTGAAAGCAGGAGTCAGTCAGTTCAAACCATCTTTTGCATGTGGTTGTGGATTCATGAGGGCTGATCCAGAACCAAAGTTTTTTCTGAGGCTTTCAAACCCGACTCGGCAAAGAGTCTTGTCCATCTTGGTAAGTAAAAGATGCTGTTGTCAAGCTTTCCAACAGAAAAATGGATGTGTGCTGGAGTCACATTTTGGCTCTGATTTCTGACAAGGGTTGACACTCTTCCCTCCACCAGTTCCTCACTCGCGCTACCGCAATGCCTCCAATGCTGCCCTGTGGTCCCATGGCGGCAGCACCGTGGGCGTTTCTGCCCGGCGCAACTCCATGGACAATCCCACCACAGCCCAGACCACGGCGCCGGCCAAGGACGCGTTGCCTGCCATTGGCCGGTCAGGCTCGGCAGGCTCCATCAGCTCCCAGGGTTCCCTCAACAGCCCGCTCATCCCTGGCTCTTCAGATGCCAACGAGTAGGTTGCCGAACAACTCTCAGTTTTTAAAGACCACTACAGTCCTCCATATTCTCGATTTAATGTTGTTTATGTGCACTCATGAGGATTAGTGTAAATCTTCCTCAGAGATATTTTAGCTTGCACCAAATTATGCTACAGCAATTTTGACTGTGATGGCTAGACAGACATTGATCTTCAAAGAATAACAAAAACTCTATCAAAATCAGTAAAGGTCTCATTGAACCAACAGTTTGATATAAAAGGTTTCTGTCAGTGGAGCTGGCTGTCTGGTATTAAACCCTATCCAGTTGACCTGCCAAAAAATGACAAGAAGGGAAAAAATCATGTTTAAAAACAGCTGTGCCTTGTTTACTTATCAGCCACTCAAATCATCCTTACATGTACCTCTGTGAAATTCTCCTTGTGGAACTCAGTTTGCTTCCAAAAGCGCATGTTGCCCAAGCAAACCACTACAGCAGGCACAAACTTCTGACAGGAACACCCCCATCTCCCAGTGGATCTGCCTCAAAGACAAGGACCCCTCCCTTTGGAGCCAATGTGTCACTGGGTACGTACCACTTTCCAAAAAGGAGTTGGCCGTGAATTAGTGCTGAAATACCGTATTTTGTCATTTCAATGTTTAGCAAGTCTTTCCCTGTTACAAACTTGTCATTGCTATTTTTGGGGGGGGGGGATTTTAAAACAGTGCCCAATGGATCACCAGTAAGCGGTGACACCTCAGGTGGGCGTGGTCTAGCCAAGGATACCACGCCCCCCTTTGGACGACCGGACACAATTGGCCTGAACAGCCACCTGACGACCCAGACGCGGGATGGTCACTTGAAGTTGTCTCCCATTGCCACCTCCACTGTCCCTGGAGGAACTCTCAAGCAAAGGCAAGTGTTAAGCTGATGTTGTTATTACAATGTTAGAGAACAATGTGCATGCGGCAGGCTCATCTCATTGGAAGGGGTTGGAGAACAAGTAACAGCTTAAATGTGAGTTGAAGGTCGGCATGGTGGACGTAGCAATAAGACGAAGGTTGAGATTTGAAGCTTTTCATGTTGGAGGTAGCAAGTAAACTGGATAGGTTTGCGGTAGCACCAAGGATACGTCTCTCTTTGAGTATGTGGGGTTCTAAGAAGAACCGATGGTACTCGACGTTTTGGACTGTATGCTCTGGTTTGCTCTGGAGACAAAGGTTTGCGGTAACACCTTAGGAATCTTTTTTGTTAGAGACTGAGATCTTGAAAAATACACGGTGCGCCTCCACAAGTTCTCTTCATAACATCACTCACACTCGAGAGATTCACTTAGCGCTGCATCATCTCATTAAGTTGGAATTTTTTTCTGCGTTGGTTAGGGGTCACAAATCTTCGAAATTTATTTCAAAACTTTAGTGACAGTGTTGTATTCGAGTCCATCACAAGTCTTTTCACAAGTCCCGTCACAAGGTCAGCCATAAGTAACGGGATGGACTATGACAAAAGGATGCTTTTGTCACAGCTCATTTGAACAGCTTGTGAATTGGCTTTGGACTTGTGATGGACTTGTGATGGACTTTTAGGGGCTTGCAGGGACTTGTGATGGACTTTCAGGGGCTTGCAGGGACTCGAATACAGGGACTTGAATACAACATTGATTGGCAAGATCTTCTCCACATTACAGTGGTGAATTTATTGCAAGACACAAGCAATTCGTTCGTGAAAGTTCATCTTTCCTCCTCAATTTGGGTACTTTCCCTTGTGACATCGTAATTTGTTCGTTGTAAAGTTCTCTGTAAAGATCAGCAAGGAAAAACATTTCCTTTTACGATGTACATGTATGAAATATCCCTGTCAGTAATGTGGCTTGTAAAAAAATTGATTGACATTTGTTTGCAATAATGTAAACAATTTCTCAATTGTGAATTTAGAGCAAATACAGAAACGGATATTTTACCACAAGTTTGATTCCGCTGAAATACGTCAGTTTCGATATGACCAGAAAGATTATGTTTCGCATCAATTTTTCAGAAATTTGATTAGTATAGATTGCAGACACACACTGCTTGCGAGTAACAAAGCGGAGAAAATTTGGTTTCTGATATAAACTGTGTTTCTCTGTTCTTACTTTGCAGTCCTGTTCTTCCTGGCATCGGTGCCACTGCTTCACAGCAAGCCACGACTGGATCGCCTTCAAATCCTACCGGCTACAGCCAAAACTCCCCTAGCGGCTTGACCAGTGAGGGCAACTACTGCGTGACCCCACCCACCAAGACCATGCACTCCTCTTGGAACATCATGGGGGTCCCACCCAGCTACCAGACGAGACAGGGCGATGGGGGACTGGCCCACCGGAGCTCTTTGGGAAGAGGCTCCAACCGACCCTGGTGACACCCAGGCGGCCTGTCATCAATCCCTTCCCTCCCGGGTGCTGAGATTTAGGTGGACCCAAGCCCATGGGCCAGTTTGGCTGTCTCGGGTCATACGCACACACACCCCCTTGGCCCAGATGTGACACTTGCTTGAAAGCCATGGTGAATGAAAAATGTATGCATGTTAACTCTCTGGAATGCCTGACCTGCATGTGTTTGCAGGAGTAAATGGCGCCCTCACTAGGGTATGCACTGATGGTATGGGCCTAGTGCTCAGCGAGATTTCACAGCATGGAAGCCGTGCACTTATACGAAACCTGTTGGAAGTAAACTATTTGTCAGCATCATGAAAGAAGAAATGAGTGTTACATTGTACTTAAATTTAGGTTCAAAACCTACGTGTGTACTTAAAATCTTTTATTGCATGGATTAGAGAATCGTTTTTTTCTCATCACATTGTTCACAATTAATAGCAACAAACACACCAAAGGTCAAATACTTCATTGTCAACATCTATGCACAGGTCAACAGATTGGCCAACTGTTAAGGTGCTGAAATGTAATGTTTTTTTTTTTATTCAAAGGCCTACTCAGTAGTCATGTCAGTTTATCTGGGATGTTGTTTTGCAAGGAGAGTAGTGAATAGATTTGCTGGAAGAACGTGAACACATTTAGGGAACAGTCCGAAACATGAATTGTCCTTTTTTAAGATTTGCACCTTTAACTTAAACTCTGTTTGTTCACTTTTCCCAGGAGTAAGTTTTCTTTTAAGAACCGGGTACTTTCCCTGGTTCAAGAGAAATCACAAGGAATCAACTGATGTGCGGGCACTTTCTTTCTGTTACTAGGGGGGTGGGACGATGTCGTCAGTGATTTTGAATGCATTTTTCTGAACAGCTTCAAATAGTATTCTTTGAAAAAGTGGCCTGCTTGGGTGTGAGACGTAGTTGTCAAGATGCTGGAGCATCAAGTTAGCTATCTGGTAGTTTGTCCGTTCATCTGTCTGTGCATCTATAGAAGGTGGTGTATACGTCCATACACCCATATAGCCTGTTCAGATGGGCCATGAGTCATATTTCTCATCAAATCTTTGGAAAGGTAATTGTTTTGAAAGCTTCACCACCTGTCTATGCCTTCTGCCGAGAACTTGTATTTTTGTAGTTTCAGCTCAGGAAATCTTTGCTTCAGGTACGTACACAGTGCCTTGATTTTTTTGGAGTTGTCCACTCAAACATAACTGCCTCCTCCATCTACAGTTCATCTGGGGCTGAAGGTCAACCGACTACTTCAGTACTTTGAGGTCAAGTGTCGGCAGTCTGTCATGAAGTCTATGTATTCCTAAGACCTCGTGTTTTACATTTCCCCCCCCCCCGGATTTTTTGAAAAGTGAATGCAATTTCAAACAGTTCATCAAAATTTGATCTGAGGGAAAGAAACTTTCTAGTTCAAATGTTTGAAGGAATATATATCGACATGTACACTTTGCCTTCTTTTCAAGGGCACAAAACAGTTGTGTTTAAATCCAAGCTGTAGGTCAGAGGTCAAAGGCGGTGAGTACATAGACCTGAATTACTTGTCAAGGGGGGACCACAGGCCCAAACTAAGGGCAGTGTAGGAATTATGTATCTGAACTACTGTGGCAAAAAGTTGGCCACTTCAGCATCGGAGGAGTTGCTGCCTTTCACAAGTAGGATTGTTTCCCAAACTTGGCTTTCGGTCAGAGTTGTATGTATAGCTCTAGAGTGCCGAAGTGTGACCTCATTTCAAACCAGGAAGCGTGGTGCAAATGAATGGAGTACGCGCATCCATTGGTTAACGCGCCGGTTCTCGCACAATTACACATGTAGTTGTACACTTGACTATTCGCTTCAGTCGGTACTCTGTAGATGTTGCTAGCATTGATCTGTATTTCTCAGTAGTTTTTGGGTGTCCTTTTTAGGCTTCGCTTTTTTTTTTCCTCCTAAATTTGAAGTTTTTGGCCCACTGATAACTCACAACTCCACATGCAGCAGAGTGAAGTATTTCTATTGAAGTTAAAGACTGTAGGCCTGCCTTCGGTGATTGAATTTAGAGATGATGCCAGAGACGGAGCCGAAAGCTGAGTATTGGAAAACCACCAGAGACTTAGCGCTTAAGATTTGGATGCTGCAGTGGCCTGAATCTCAGTTGTCATTGACCTTTATTTCATTGTAAATTGTGCACGTGTGTGACAGGTATTTACAAAGGACAAAGTCAAATTTTTATGGAGAAAATACACATTTTTCATAGATACTGAATATGATAATGAATATACTATATTGTACCAAAATAGTGGTATACATGTACATGTATGTAGTTAGTAGATAGCGCTTGTGTGGATGTAGGATTGTATGCCGTCCGATCCAAAAGTAGTTGTTAGGTGAATTTGATGAAGACAAAACTATGTGCAATAGTTTAAGAATTACGAATGTATTGCATGTACATACGGATTATTTTTCTTTTGGAGTGTCTTATTCTATTGGCCGTACCAGTCAGATTTTTTTTTTAAATATCCAGCAATGTGTGTGTTTTGAAACAGCGTTCTTTTTCTGCTGTCTTCTCCAGCATCAAATGGTGGAACCATGGAGGAATTTCTTATTCTTCCACGGTTGAACAAAGTAGACTTGTAACATAGTGATGTGACGCTTCGTTTGCATGTGTGAGGTGGGACGCAGTTTATCCAGCTCCCATAGGGAAGTGCACATGTAAACAAAGCATGATGTCCTAATGATTCAGGTCCAACGGTGATGGCTCACAGGTTTCATATTTCAGGCTGTGCAACGGAGGCCAGAATGGGCCAAGGATAGGCACACTCCGGATACGGTTCCTTCAGCCAGAGGGCCTGATAGAGACTGGCTTTTTCCTCCTTCAAATGGAGCAGTGTGATGGCATGGTGTTTTATTTAGGGAACCAAACACCACTCTAAACCCTAACTGCCTAGTATCCATCTCACTCCAACAGCAGGCTTTGCTTGGCAGGTTTGGTACCATACCCGATTAACGTCTTGTTGAAGTTTGTCGGACTTGGTATCAAAAGCCCGGGGCGATAGATTGTTGGATTTTGTGTGAGTTGGGACACAAAGGGGTCATTGTGTGCAGTGTCTGGCTTGCTGTCCCAATTGTTGGACTATGCTTGATTTTGTCAGGTTTGGTTCTGTTCAGTGCAAGTCATCCTACACTGCATAGACCCGTCCATACCATATCACTCAAACTCCAACGGCCTCATTCTGTTGGAGTTAATCAGGTTTGGTAAAGTGACCTGCATATACAAGTACATAGACAAGTACATGAATCTGTTGGATTTTGTGAGGTTCAGTATGCTCCCTAGTGTAAGAGCCCAGGGGGTTAGGGTTAAGTAGAGATCAAAGGGTGAAGTTGGGTCATTCTATACATTTGGGGTCCAAAGTGTGACATTTTTCCGTCCCCGTTACCTGAGGCGTGTACCATCTGATATATTTGACAAGGGATGTATCGCTGAAATTATTTCAAACTATTTTTGTTTGGCAGGTAATTTGCAGTACTTATTCAATCTTGATTTGAGTACTAAACATTAAAAATTATATGCCAGACGTAACAGGGACAGGGAAAAAATTGGACCCCGGATTTGTAGGGTGACCCGGTTGCAAAGTAGAAACATTGGTTTCAGAGGCAAAAACAAAGGGAATTCTTGTCTTTCAGGAGGATGGTAATCCAAGTACAAACTGTACGAGAATTCCGTTGCTTGACAGAAATGGTCAGTTTTCCATCGTTAAGGGCTCGACTCTACAAACTCAGCCTTTGAGGTTGTCATGTACTGTGAAGAGGTTGTAGGGAGGGAACCAAGACAAATTTTTGAACCAAGTAGATCAACCAATTCCCACCGAAGGATATTCAGGTTCCAAGAATGAAAATGAGGGTTCGGTAAAGACTGATTTGACTTTGAAAAGTCTTCAAAACAGTTCTCGACAAAATGCTTGTTCAAGGCGGGGTAATCGGACAACTGCTGCTCATTTTTTGGAGTTGGACTGCTCCAAAGTATGTCTTGCATAAAGTCATTAAATGTACCAAAATAACGGACAATGTGGAACAAAATAATAAAGAACGAATCAAATTATAATTTCCTCTGGGTACTTTTGCTTTTATTAAACCGAGTCAACTCCCCTCATTTCTGTGGTACGTCTTGTAATAGCATGACGACTTTCCAATGGCACTCCAACAAAGGTGAACATCTGCATTCTAGATATTGTAATGACCATGATACCATACTGGGGGAAACAATTGATTTTCCAGTACTCAAAGGCATTTCGAGTCAAATTTTAGACCTTGAGCCCAGTCGGTTAACAGGCAGTCATGTCTTCAAGACTATGTACTGCATGGTTAAGTCATATATGTGTTACTGAAAGGGTTACCATTCAGACATAGAAAAAAATCATTTAAAGCTTTGGTTGGTACTTTAAGATGTCAAATATCAACCCTTGGAAACTCCCAGGTCACAACATTTCTAGTGGGGGAGAAAAATTATCAAATACACGTGTTTTTTTCAAATCTGACAAATGTGAACTTTATCTCCCAGAAAGGCACAAAACCAGGTGGCACTGGAGGCGAAAATATTCAACTACTGCCAACAGATGGGGAAAACAGAACTCCAACAGGGGTGAACCTGTAAATGCAACGATGAGGTGGACTCTGTTAAAGTAGACACTGAACTGCACATGACATCTCAGACACTACCACATACTAAGGCCGTGTCCGAAACGGGCTTCCAGAGCTACGGCTAGGTCTGTTGTCTTCGCGTCTCTGAGCATTTCTAATGGAGTGAAGACCTAGGCCTAGCTCTAGACAACAGATTTGGAAGCAGCCTAAACACCAGAAGAGAAGCAAAGTTGGTGGGAAATCGTTCAGCACTGCTTCAAAAATCAGGTGGGAACCAGTCACTGGCAATATACAAAGGATGGCATGCTGGTGAGTACCTAGCTAGTCTTTCACTATTTAAGGGGGAAAAAAGTCACATTCAACTTGCAGTCAAAATGGGGTAGGTCCGGATACAGGAAGCATAACTTTGGGGGAAGGTGGCTAAAGCAAAACATTTTGGGGGATTAGCAACATAATTGGGCTTCCAGTTCCATACAAGTTGTCAGACTTGTGCACCAGGGAAGACTCAAAGCCCTTTTCCCGGACCAGGGTATAAGCAACTTTACAAGAGTTACAAGGCACACTGATCGTTTCTAAGCACAGAAAACTATCTGCTTAACAAATACAGGTTATCAACCAGAATGTGTTGGGGGTTTGCCTTGCCTGCAACTGGTTCCCTGCCAATTTGATCTCATCAATATTGCCTGCTTAACAATTCTGAATAATTGGAGCCTGGGTGCCAGACCTTACTTTTTAAGAATTTCACGTAAAATAACATAAGATTACAGGTGAAACACAAATTCCAATGCAGATAAAAAGCATATTAAAACAAATACAGACCAGCTGTGCTTGCTACAGAGCGTAAGATCCAATATACATGTACACAAGGAACAAATTAGGCCAACCTCACAGTACCGTGGGGCAGAAATCGTCTAGGCACATTTGAGCGGAACATCAGCCCACAAAGCCGTACATGGGTAAAATGAACTTTCAACTGTTTCGGCATACTTCACAGTACTTTTGATATGATAAGTCTAATTTCTGCCTCATGGTCATGCAATTGGCTAATTTAACAACAATAGAACATTTGGTTGCGCATACACATAAAGACTCTTAAAACAATACTGTACAGCAATACTATTTTTTTTCAAATTTAACAATTAAAAATCAATCACAGTGAACATGAATATTTGTCCATTAATATTCTTTACAGAGCGACCAATCACTTTTTAGACTTTTCAAATCTTGAATGCATCAACTTCCAAAATCCAATCAATTCACTTGAACAGTGACATCAACAACTGCTGGGAAACAAATCACTACTTCAGAACAGAAAAATTGTAAACCTTAAATACCAGATAATTCAATAGAGGGATTTCACATTAGCGCCGTCTGCCCATATCTGCATCGAAACCGAGGCTCTCTGTGTTGAACTTCTTCGCACGCACCCGTGGAGACGACACATTACCGGTTCGTAACTGTGACGCCACTTCAGTTAAACCACGCCCACTGCACAAGATACACGACCATCGCAGGTACGTTAATTCGCGGTCAATTGTCGTNACATACCTTTATGCATTTTGGGTCTTGACTCCTTACTTTCAATCGACTGATCGTATTAAGAATCAAAGCTGACACATACAGCCTCGTTTTCAAACACGGAAGTGCGCAGATCGAGGCTAAAAGCGTCGTATTGGGATCCCTCTATTCTTCCGATTCAAAAATTCCATCTCCCTTCAGGGTGCTGTCTTCTCTACAAAGGTCATTAAGTTCTGGCATTTGTGCATTGAATTCAGAGTTAAATTAGTACTAGTTCGCCTCTGTAAAAAAAATCGGTACCGGTACTTACACATAATAGAAACCATAATCAGTACAGGCAATTAGAGGCATTGCGTGGTCGCCATCTTGCAAGGCAAGTTCCTTTGTTCTACGAGGACAAAGCTGGCCTGCAAGATGGCAGCAATGCAAACCCTCTATATCTGGAGATGGACGATTAAGAAACAGAGGAATGGTTTGAACAGTGATCTAGGAACAGGAAGGTCACTGAAATACTGAGACTAGGGCAAGTGTAATGGAATGCCAAAATGTGCAAGTCATTCAAAATAAATGCACCTACGGTTTAACCACGAACACTGTAAGGGAATGGCTGATGGCTTTAGTCGTCACGAGGAAGAACCAGGAACTCGTTAAAATGACTCCCGTCAAATACACCCATAATTGATTTTCATTCGGGGATGGAAGTGTATAAATGTGTAAATTTCTTTCTTTTTTTTTCAGACTTAAAAAAAAAATTACTGCATAATATTGTGCATACAAAATAATTCCTTTAAAAATCAGCACCACCGTAATTATTAACCTTAAACTTGCTGCATGTTATGATCAGTTGAGTGCATTCAACAAACTGAGAAATGAATGGGCTTGTCTGTCTACACATGGCAAGGTATTTGAAAGCAATTTACATCCTTGATGTTTCTCAAATATTTCTACGGAGGGGCTCCGTTCTGGTCCAAACTTGTTATCCCAAATGAATTTTTGGGGAAAAGATTCTTTCAGCGCTGTGTTCAATACCGAGATATGGAAGTTAGTCACTCCCTCCCTGCCCAAATATCTGGGATTCTTCCACTCAGGATTTTAAATTTTATTACAGCCAAACCGGTCTTAGCTTCTAAAAATGAGCTTTTTACTTTAAAAGACACAGTGAGAAATTGGTTATCAATTTCATGTACCAGAGCAGTGAAACCTGAAACAAAAATCGGCCATTTTCTTTAAACTTGGCTTCTCTTCCACAAAAAGTCTTGGAGAAAACTAGTTTTGTTTTCTGTCCACAGTGCTTCAAAGAGAGACAGAACGTCAGCTCTTTGTCTCCTTCACGAAGAATATAAAAAAACAAACCATATGCTTGCGTATATACAGATAGCCTGGCGGTACAAAAATTACAATTGACTGCTGTCGGCAGAATCTCTCCAAATATCACAATTAACTTTTTTTTTTCATATGTGTACATCGCTCTTAAGTCACCTGTCTACTTGAGAACATGCTGAAATAAAGATGAAGTGGGACAAAACCACTCTCTGAAGGAAAATTGAATCCTTTGAAATGGTCGAAACAGATAAAAAGAAGCTTACATTCAAAGTGAAAAAAAAACAAACTTTGGTAACACGGTGATATGATTATCATAACATAGTAATTCATTTCTATGAAAGTTGCTCCAACCACCAAATAAGCATCTCAATTTCAACATTTTCAGGGTCACAGAGTTTCTCATTTCAAACGTTGATACTGATGTGGTATTAATTCTCCACAAACAAAAATCAAAATCAAAATGTATAAATGTCGTGAGTTTGACGCTCGATAGTATGTCTTGCGAGTCTAGTTTCACTCCGTACAAAACTGTATAAATTTACAGTATTATTCTACATATCAGTACAAAACCACACACGTTACTGTACGTTTCCATATTTCGGAACAATTCAAAACAATCAAGTACTGGATATCTTGTTGGTTTCTTTGTTTTTACCAATATAGTGCTGCTTTGACAATCTTTCATGATGCTGTCTTGTATATTTCTGCTGAACTTTTGTTCCACAAAAAGAGGCTGAGCAGCGGTGGCTTATACGAACATTCATTTGCAATGGCTCTCTTTGGTTGGTACTAGTGGCTTTCTCTACCACTCACATGCCATGGTTCTTCCTTTAACGGTTACCGGTGGCATGTACCACTATTGGTATATAATGGTTTCTGATTACGATGGCAACTGCTTTTAAGCAACATTAATGTGCAATTATTTTAGATGGGCGCCAGTTGCTTTTACCACCATTTATCTGCTATGACTGTGGTGGGTACCGGTGGCTTTCACTGGCACTCAAATGCAATGATTTATCTCGGGTGGTATAGATTACTTTATATAATGTCTTGGACAGGTACCAGTGGCTCACACCTGCGCTCACAAGCAGCAGTTCTCAGACAGTTGAGAGTCAGTCTCTCCTTTAGACGGGTACCGGCGGCTCATAGCCCAGGTTCTTGGCCTGCAGCAAGGTGAACAGATACTGGAAGGATGGTCTGTCTGAGGGTTCCCGCCGCCAACAACGCAGCATGACGTCGTAAACATCCTACAAAAAGGAAAACAAAACAACACATTGCACATCAACATTCCGTACTGACACCATGCACTCTACAAAGATTAACGTCCAGAACACTGGGTATACTTGCACGCCACCTGTCTCAACTATGATGCAATCCTTTCAAGAGAGGATGAGCAGAAGTTTGTGTGCATTCAGGTGGAAATTTGCAAAGTGTTCCTACTTTTCTAGTTGGTTCTGAGAAACAGGCCACGCAGCACCATTTATGCAGTCGACCGGAGCAATCTCTCGGCTCACCTTGGGGCAATGTGGGGGCGGAGCCAGCAGAGTGGGGCTGCCGCTCTTCTCAAAGAACTGGCCGCTATTCTCGATGACTTCCTCGTCCCTCAGCTGGGAGTAGGGCTGCTCCTTGCACAGGGTCATGATCTCCCACAGTGTCACGCCAAACGCCCACACGTCTGTCTTGTTGGTGAACTTACCCTGGGGAGAGAAGGGAAGTAGGTCAGAGACACTGCTGAACCACAGAAGTAGAGGACTTGCTGTCTCAAGATACCCCTAACGCTCTTCAATGCCATGTTAAATATGTTGCTTTCCCTCTAGTTTATCTAAAGATCCCGTAGCAGTGTCGTCAGGTGGATGGTGGTCTGGCCCCATGGCATCACGTCAGGAGAGCGCAATGAACCAGTTCGGTATTCCAACACCTTATGCTGTGATTTGCTTAGCACAAGAAATATTTGCTGAGAAAAACAGGTTACCAGCCAAAAAGCCACATGATACATACGCCGCTCTTCACTGGTTCTCAGCTGATACAAGCTTAGCACATTTTAATAAGCTGGGCAAAACTGGCTGATTGAGAGCCTTACCATGAGTATGCTCTCCCATGCCATCCAGCGAATGGGCAGCACGGCCCGCCCCTCGATGCGGTAGTAGTTGCCCGAGTACAGGTTGCGGCTCATCCCAAAGTCAGCGATGCGTATCGTGAAGCACTGGCCCATCAGGCAGTTGCGCGTGGCCAGGTCCCGGTGGACGAAGTTGAGGGAGGCCAGGTACTTCATGCCCGAGGCAATCTGAGTGGCCATGTATATCAACGCACCAAGTCTGGAAGAATGAAGGGGGGGGCATACAGAGGACCAATCAGATTGCTGGCTTTTCTGGATCACGTATATTCAGAATTTCAAACCTCACGCTGCAAATTTTATTGGTGATTATGACTGTCAAAATTATGGGGATTTGGACTCGGTTTGCAAGAGCTGTCTGTCCCAATCACAAGCAACATCTGGGCATGAAATCATACTTTAAAAAGGTGTCTGACAAAACGCACTAGCGCAATGAATTTCCTTCTGCTATGTTCAGCATTCGATCAGACATTTCACCGCCATCACAGGAGAACACATTTTCACAGTTTAAATGTCACAAGCACAAAAAATCAGAGTGACAACATCGACAAGATTTTGCGGCGGGGATCTCTGCCTTCGCATTTCCTCCAGATATTTTGTCTGCCCACATCTGCCTTTGTTCAAACGAATGGACCTTTCCCATGAAATATGCAAATAAGGCAGGTGCATGCGCATTACTACCGCTGTTTGGTAAAGTTGCTTAAATCTTTGACGTAACAAAACAAATCTCCATCTCTCGCGTCACTATCGCCGTTTCTGTGCTAGTATAGTTTGACATGAGTGCCGAACTTAAAGACAAGGAAATGTTACTTTCCAAGCTCAGGACACTGAAAACTTCACTTAGTTTCGAGGAAAGCGTGCTCAAGTATCGGGCAAAGGCTGTAATGTGGTTTTGACTGACCGTCAACGCTCCAGGTTATGGTTACTAGCAGCTCGCCTACCCTACCAACAGTGTTGACAGCCGCACTTGCCAACCAGTGGTAGTAGCGCGCATGCGCCCGTCCAATTTGCATATTTCATGGGAAAGGTCCATCGGACGGACTCAAATTAGTCCATATACGACCCATGTCTAACAGCAACGTCATGCTGTAATGGTGAAAATAAATGTACCGGGTGCCTTGGGCAGAGGGCACAGGGGAAACCACCCATAGTTTATTTTCATTTTCTTTTGGCAAGCATTTTTTAACAGCTGTGAGCTTTTGGAACACCGATGGAGCCAGAAAACATTGACCCCCCTTTCTCTTTCAACAGTTTGTCCCCATACTTACGTGAGAACCCGGATGTTGGTGGCGCCTGTAGGGGCCACAGTCCACTGTGCCTCCGATTCATACAGGTACTGGTTGAGGTCGCCAAACTCCATGTACTCCACCACCATGCAGAGGGGTTCATCCTCTGTGCAGGCCGCCAGGAGACGGACGATGTTGGGATCTCGCAGTTGGGACATGATCTTCATCTCCTTCATGAAATCCGTCCTGAACACCAAAGAAAATAAACAAGGCAAAAATCAAGGATAGTAGACAGATTTAAGAGTAGCAAGTCGTTTTTGCCCATGAGGCCAGTGTCAATCTCTCGCACCTGTGGCATGGATCGACTGTATATCTTGTACTCCCCTCCGGATGGGAAGCCAGCCCATCACAGGTTGCTCCCCGCCGATGCCGGTACCCACTTATGCTCCTGGACGGAGAGAGCCACTTAAAGTGTGAAGTGGCTTGCCATGAACCTTGACCGCTAAGCCACGCTTCTCCTCCTTAGATTCGGGAGTAACAGCAACCAAGACACTCCAGGCGGGCAAGGTAAGAATCAAATCCCTATTTTCAGCCTGGCAGGTAGATTTTTGGGAGAAAGTTCCTGTGTGTGTAAAGCGCATGTACACAGTATGTCGGCCCCGAAGGATGTTGTCGCTAGGCAACGAGGCATCCTTCTCTCTCCTGGCACACGGCCCATGGCATTTGCGGGAGCTGAAGCCACATTCAGTTCATATCGGGGGCCACAGCAAGGCAAGTACATGAAATAAGTCTACCAGGATAGATCACGTCTCTTCATATGCACGTGCTCCATATATCATTTTCAGCGGAGCTGTTGAACACAAGCGTGCAAAATGTAACGCACTCGAATACTCCTGTTGATGTCGGCCGTTATGGTCTTTCTTGATGAGCACAGCTGCATCGCATAGATTCTGCGGGCATAGCTCCACAAACATCTGAACCGTCATACCGATCTGGTTTTGCCTATCACTGCATTCAATCAACTACAAGAATGGCTGGAAATGTGATACTTTAAGAGCGCCTCTGACAGAACGACTCGTCAGCAAATTGTTGATACTGCCGAAAAACAGAACCCCCCCCCCCGAGAAATAAAAAAGCATCCCCCGCTTAAAACAATACTTGCCATCTTCTTCCCTCGTCATCTCCTAAAATTAATTACGTTGATTCACCGAAGCCCCTCAGTGATAAATTGCGGACGGCACTTGCGAGGCTGCTCCCCTCCAAGGCACAGTCAAAACCCCCCCCCATTTTAAAACCCGATACTAGAAGCCAGATTCCTGATGACAGTATCTTAACTGCTCCACTGAGAGTGGGAGGACAGGTTCCAACAAGTTGAAGGAATTCAATTTTCTACAGCATCTCTCCCACCCCACAGTGCTGCGCATCGATGCTGGAATTATCAATGATGCACTCTCTTGTGTATAGTCCATCTACATCGAACAACAAAGATCGCCAAACCTCTTTTTACGGGACACTACTGTCGTGTTTCCCTATTTGATAAATAAAACACAATCACGATTTACCCTCCAATTCAGCTGCAGTGACACTTAATGCAAATACTTGAAAAGAGATAAATCTTCCCTTGAACTTGTTCAAAAAGCTACCACGGAATACGCAACAAACATGAACAGCTTCTATCGCCACATTACAATCTTCCAAGTGCCTCTGTTAGCTTTGCTACACTGTTATTTTCTGTCCCGATTCAAAAATAAATTGAATAACTTCTAAAATCTAGCAGACCAGGAAATATATTTTAGTCAGTTCTCAATCTTCCCCAGATGCGATCTGAAGATATCTTAAGACCAGCTTTGTGACATACATGTACGTGTTGGACAGTCAGTTGCTGAGCTTTGCAAAATTCAGCCTGTCTGTAAAGGCAGCAATGTGGCGGGTGCCAACTTGGTGGGAAAAAGTGCAAGAAAAGTTGGAGAGCAGCCCGGCCGGTTGCAATGTCAGGTTGAGGTTCAACAAGGACTCAGCCAAACCTTGGACCACATGTTCCCCATCAATCAGGCTGCTGACATATCAAGTCTTCCCCAGGGGAGTCCAGGGACCGATCCCAAGGCTGCCTGTCTTCACCAGGTGAAGCCGAGCGGCAGGTGGCTGGGTGGGGATCAACAGGCAGGGTCAAAGGTCATGGGATGGGGATGGACAGACTGGAAGAAAATGTCAATAGCCCAATGGATTGGATGTGAGGGTGCTCACCTTACGGATCTTGCTGGGATTCACACAGATTGCGATATTGTGAAAGAATATAGGAGATTCTGGATATTTGAGAATTTACTGCATATAATGTTGGAGAAGACTATATTGCTACTTCAATGCCAACTTCATAATTAAGTATGGGTAACTTCATTTCCTGAAAAACTAACCAATTTAAAAGATAGAAACACTTGACTTGTTGTGCTGAATGGGGCAGAGAATTAGTCTCTTACCAGAACTGACAATAATGGCATGAGAGGGAGAAAAGAGGAAGTCTGCGTCTTGATAGCAAAAGCATTCTCAATTGATCTGGAAACCTTCTTAAAAGGAGAAACACTGCGATTACCTACTTAGAACTTTAAGTTTCAAACAGAAGTTAGCATTGTCTTAATGAGCGCCTAACTATACGTGATCTGTGAAAACAGGTTGAGTTGCATTCACAGCCATCACTGGGCTCAAAAAGAGGACAGGATTTGTGGCGGAGTACCTTGCATTTTTGTTGGCGTCTTTCCTGAGCATCTTGACAGCCACTAACGTCTTCTCCCCTTTGTTTTTGTTCTGGAAGGGGAAGCCGTTACGGATATAGTCGTGAATATCCTCAGCTTCACACAGATGCACCTGACAATGACAGAACATTTGATGAAGAATATCAAAAAGTGATTGGACTTAGATTAAACTTATATTCGAACAAAACTATTTAATCAGACCAAGGAAAGTCCACACAAAGAAACAAGTCCTCATTATGAAAACTTTCTTGAAAACTACTGTTGTGATAAAAATCTGTGGCTTTAAAAGGAATTATCCTTGTGTTGAAGCAGGCCTGACAAAAATTATATCCTCACATCAGAGTATGTCGTCACAAACATTATGTCCTCACATTAAACCACGTCCTCACATAGAAATGTCCTCACCTCTCCAAACATGCCCTCCCCTAGCAGCTCCAAGAACTTGAGCTTTTCCCTGGGGAACTCGGGGACTGGCGACCGGTTGTTGTTGAGTTTTTCCATGGCCTGGCTGGGCACGCCGTACAGGGTGTTGCCTGACACCCCCTGGATGGTCACCATCAGGTCTGTCTCGGCGTAGTGGGCCAACAGGTCGCTCTGGCTGCCCTTCTTGGGGGTGGAGCCGGACGTCTCCGGCTCGGCATAGATGCCTGTACTTTCTGGGTTGTTTAGGGAGGGGGGGAGAGAAAAAATGTTGGGAAAATGAGAACCCAAACAGCAATGCCCAAGACAGAGACAGACAGTTTGGTTACATGGGACATGGTTGAAGTCCTGTGTTTATACTTTGTAAGATATTTTGCCACCCCTATATCGGATTTGTTACTAAGACACATCTTGTTTAGCTGATATATTTTCAAGCATAAACGGTACAATGTGAGAGAGAAACACGTTGGGTAAAGATTGTTTCCTGGGTCTCCCACACTCACATCTCAGCAGAAGTTGGTATTTTTTCTAGTGACAGAACTGTTTCGGAACAATGAAAGGTGATCAGAACTTGTGGTTGAAATCGTCCTAGTTTCTTACCGTCCTCACTCTCCTGCATGTTGTCAATGACGTGGTACTGTGGCTCGTCGTCCGGGTGGGGGATCTGGTAGGTGGGGTTCATGCGCCGGCTAGGCATGGTGACGCCCCGGGAGTTGTTGACCACGCTGCCGTTGGCCTGCTTGTCGTAGAAGACGGCCGGCATGCTGTGCTTGAGGTTGATGTACTTGCGCCGGTACAGGCAGAGGCAGACTGCGAAGATGAGGACAGCCAGGAGGAGGAGGGCCACCATGATGGCGACGATGGTGCTGCTGTGGTTGGACGCGGGCTCGCTGGTGACGTTCTCAGTGGGTTTGACTGGGGGTGTGAAAACAGTTTCACCAAACCATTCCTAAATTGTCGTTGGCTGGGGTATTATTTGTTCAACCCTCCTATGCTGAAGTCACTCTTTGGGTCATTTGGTAAACACCTCAAAGAAGCACAGCTGTGTCATGTTGTGCGCTGCACCAACTGTCCCTCACAGGAATATCAGATTGCACTTTTGTGCTGCCCAACAACTGTGCTTCACTGTTTCATGCGCATCA